TTTGCTTGGCATATGGTTTAAAATGTCCTGCACAGCAAGCTCACTGATCTCAATCAATATAGCATGGAAAAAGGCCTTCTGGCTCATTTTGTAGTGCTGGTCATCAAGCATCTATCTTGTCTTTACTGATCCCATTTTCCAGCACATGGCCTATAGCTTTGTATGCAGTGGCTCTTCAAGTGTTTGTCCTATGCAAGAATCTCAGTTCTATTCAGGTGAAGTCTGTGCATCTGTATGATTCAGTTGTGCCCCAGAAGTTGAAATCCTACATTATTTGTCTTGTCAACATGTTCCATTTTCTTACCATTCTTAAACTAATTTATAACGAAGAAACCTGAGGTCACTTCCCTCTGTCAATCACCTAATTCCTGAAAGTCCTTTTGCAGATTGTGAATTACATTCCTTGGTATTCATTGGATCTGTTGTAAACTGTAACTTATTTCAGCTTTTCTTCTTTTTCTAAAGTCATTTGTAGCCACTCCATTGTATTCCCAAACTGGTATTTGGGATTCTCTCAAGATCATCTGTCAGTGCCCTATTTCTAGAATCCCTTATTTTTACTATATTGTTGCATACTTTCCCCCCCTTCATCTGTAGGCACTACTTGCACGGTGTCATGGTGATTTTTTAGTTGTCTTCTGAGGAGTCGCCATCATGTTCACTGCAGGTGTCTGTCAGTTTAATACATTTAGGAGTTCTCACTACCTCTGATCCCCTCTTTCTACCACTGGGAAGAAATATAAATTGTAAAGGAAGTCTCACAAGCACTACAGGTCAAATGGCAGCCTATTAAATATTCCATTCAAAACACTGCCATTTATTTTGCTGGATTTTCTTTGGCAACTTATTAAGGGCTACATAATTTTCAATTGAATGGGACGCGTAGGAATACAACAAACTTTTGATTAGTGGCACCTATGGGACCAGGAGTGTGCCAGTTGATCAATTCTGTTTAATCAAGAGGACCGCATAATCAATGGAAAAACAGTGCAAGTAATAGAAATTTAATGCAGGGGGTATACCTATCTCTTTTATATACTTTATGGCACAAATCACTTAAGTAATAATGCAACTTTGCCTTAAATAAAACTTACAGGCAGAGAGCCTTCTCACTTGCACCCTCACCTGAGTGCTCAATGACATAGCTGAGATGATGATAATACAGTCAACCTCCACTATCTCAGGTATTAAATTTTTGCTGATTTCTCAAGAGTGGTGGTTCATAAGATGCCTGTTAAAACGAAGTTTGCTATATCTTATTAGCCTGTTTAGAGGCGAAAAGTAACTACTGTATTTTACGTATAAAAATAAGCAAATATGTTAGGCACAAAGAAATATGCATCTTAGAAAGTTCTACCACAGAATACTGTTCTGTAGATTTCAGAAATTACCCCAAAGCATTGCCTTGACATTCACTTTCTGAGCAGTGAAATGTAATGAGTGATAGCTTGTGATAGAGAATGAAATAAATGCAAGAATTACAGTCACAGCTGAGTTCAAGTTTATTTTTAAAAAACAAAATTCCAAATTAATGTTTATGTTTTGCTATATTTGTTATTGATGCGGCTGATACTATTAAGGTTATTTTTATTGCCTTTCCACCATTACTCATGGTTATACTTGAACCACTGAAGTCTTTACAATAACATTAAGTCATGAATACATCAGTTAGTAGGGTCAGATGGTGTAGAATCTGTGTGGTAGAATTGAGGAACTGCAAAAGTAAAAAAACCATAATTAGGGTTGTGTACAGGCCTCCAAACAGTAGCCAGGAGCTGGGGCGCAAGATACGCCAGGAAATAGAAAAGGTGTGTAAGAAAGGCAAAGTCGCAGTGATCATGAGGGATTTCAATATGCAGCTGGACTGGGAAAATCATGTTGGTAGTGGATTGCAAGAAAAGGAGTTTGTGGAATGTCTACGAGATGGCTTTTTGGAGCAGCTCGTGGTGGAGCCCACAAGGGAACAGGCAATACTGGATTTAATGTTGTGCAATGAGGCAGACTGTATTAGGGAGCTTAAGGTAAAGGAACCCTGAAGAGGCAGTGATCATAATATGATTGAATTTACTGTGCAATTTGAGAGGGAGAAGATAGAATCAGAGGTAACAGTATTACAGCTGAATAAAGGCGACTGCAGAGGTATGAGGGAGGAGCTGGGCAGAATTGACTGGAAGAGGAGCCCAGCTGGAAAGACAGTGGAACAGCAATGGCGGGAGTTTCTGGGAATAATTCAGGAGACGCAGCAAAAATTCATCCCTAGGAAAAGGAAGCATGGTACAGGGAGGATGAGGCAACCATGGCTGACTAAGGAAGTCAGGGATAGCATAAAAGCAAAAGAGAAAGCATATAATGTTGCAAAAGGTGTAGGAAACCAGAGGACTGGGAAGCATACAAAGACCAACAGAAGGCAACAAAAAAAAAGAGGGAGAAGATTAAATATGAGGGTAAGTTAGCCAGTAATATAAATGAAGATTGCAAGAGTTTTTTTAGGTGTATATAAAGGGCAAAAGTGGACTTTGGACCACTGGAAAATGACAGTGGAGAGATAGTAGTGAGGAACAAGGAAATGGCCAAGGAATTGAATAATTACTTCACGGCGGAAGACATGAGTAATCTCCCAAAAATTCAAGAGTCAGGGGGCAGAGCTGAGTATGGTGGCCATTACCAAGGAGAAGGTGCTAGTAAAACTGATTGGCCTGAAGGTGGACAAATCACCTGGACCAGAAGGACTACACCCCAGAGTTCTAAAGGAGATAGCTGAAGAGATAGTGGAAGCGTTAGTGGTGATCTTTCAGGAATCGCTACAGTCAGGGGACTCCCAGAGGACTGGAAAATTGCTAACGTGACACCCCTGTTTAAAAAGGGAGTAAGGCAAAAGACGGAAAATTATAGGCCGATTAGCCTAACCTCAGTTGTGCGTAAGATTTTGGAGTCCATTGTAAAGGATGAGATTTCTGAATATTTGGAAGTGTATAGTAAAATAGGGCAAAGTCAGCGTGGTTTCATCGAGGGGAGGTCATGCCTGACAAATCTGCTAGAATTCTTTGAGGAAGTAACGAGCAGGGTAGACCAAGGAGAGCCAATAGATGTTATCTACCTGGACTACAAAGCCTTTGATAAGGTGCCACACAGGAGACTGCTGAGTAAGATAAGGGCACATGGTGTTAAACGCAAGGTGCTAGCATGGATAGAAGATTGCTTTCTGCCAGACAGCCAGAGAGTGGGGATAAAAGGTTCTTTCTCAGGATGGCAGCCAGTGACAAGTGATGTTCCGTGAAGGTCAGTGCTGGGACCACAACTTTTCACTTTATAGATTAATGATCTAGATGAAGGAACTGTGGGCATTCTGGCTAAGTTTGCAAATGATCCAAAGATAGGTGGAGGGACAGGTAGTATTAAGGAGGTGGAGGTTGCAGAAGGATTTGGACAGGTTAGGAGAGTGGGCAAAGAAGTGGCAGATGGAGGACAGCATGGGAAAGTGTGAGGTCACGCACGTTGGTAAGAAGCTTAAAGCATGGACTATTTTCTAAATGGGGAGAAAATTCAGAAGTCTGAAGTGCAAAGAGACTTGGGAGTTCTAGTCCAGGATTCTCTCGGTAAACTTGCAGGTTGTGTCGGTAGGCAGGAAGGCAAATGCAATGTTGGCATTTATTTTGAGAGGACTTGAATATAACAGCAGGGATGTACTACTGAGGCTTTATAAGGCTCTGGTCAGGCCACATTTGGAGTATTGTGTGCAGTTTTGGGCCCCATATCTCAGGAAGGATGTACTGGCCCTGGAGCGAGTTCAGAGGAGGTTCACGAGAATGGTCCCAGGAATGGAAAGCTTAACATATGAGGACTCTGGGACTATACTCCATTTGAGTTTAGAAGGATGAGGGGGGATCTAATTGAAACTTTCAGAATGGCCTGGACAAAATGGACGTTGGGAAGATGCTTCCATTCGTAGGAGAGACTAGGACCCGAGGGCACAGCCTTCGAGTGAAGGGAAGACCTTTTAGAATGGAGATAAGGAGAAACATCTTCAGTCAGAGAGTGGTGAATCTATGGAATTCACTGCCACAGAAGGCTGTGGAGGCTACGTCATTGAGTACATTTAAGACAGAGATAGATAGGTTCTCGATTATCAAGGGTTACGGGGAGAAAGCAGGAGAATGGGGTTGAGGAACTTCTCAGCGATGATTGAATGATGGAGCACCCTTGATGGGCCGAATGGCCTAATTTCTGCTCCTATGTCTTATGGTCTTGTAGTTCGTACCCAACAACAATGGCAAATGCACTAGTCAGGATGGTGTGCAACTTGGAGGGAAATTTTAGAGGTGGCGAGACTTGCTGCTTTTTTGTTTACCTGCTGGTAAAAGTCATGGAATTGAGAGATGCTCTCATGATTGCAGTTGTTCAATTCTAGGTTAGTTTTTCTGATTGCTGCATACACTCGGCAGCTAACCTTACCTAGCATACAATGCCACTCACATCAGAGATCCATTATGTGAAGCTCAACATTGTTTTAGATCCAGTTTCTAAGATCAGAAATCATATGACACCAGGTTACAGTCCAACAGGTTAATGTGAAAATGCAAGCTTTTGGAGCTTTGCTGCGCCTTCAGGTTTAAGGTAGAAGGAGCGACGCTCTGAAAGCTGGTGTTTTTAAATAAACCTGTTGGACTGTAACTTGGTGCCATGTGATTTCTGCCCTTGTCAACCCCTGTCCAACACTGGCACCTCCACATCACAATTTCTAAGAGGCATTGATTAGAGCAAAAACAACTGACTGTTCGACAGGAACCTGTCATTTGATGTGTAAAATACAATGTATAACATGGTAAGAGATAACAAGGTGTAGAGCTGGATGAACACAGCCGGCCAAGCAGCATCAGAGGAGCAGGAAAGCTGACATTTCGGGCCTAGACCCTAACATGGTAAGTTAGGTTTCATAAAATAAACCAAAGCTGGATTGTATTTGTATCATCATGTCCTTACTTCTGTTTTTCTTTCCCCAGTCACTGGTGCTGATTTCTCAACTTCCTTTTGTGAACCTCTTCCATTCTCTACTGCAACTAATTGCACCTGAATACTTTGAGAAGCTGGAGCCTTGTCTAGAGGCAGGTTAGAGCATTTCCAGGAATGTTACAATTATAAGAAACAGCAAACACAGACTATCCTACATAAAATTTGTCCTCCTAGGGCTATGTGATCTTACGACCAGAATTTGGCATAAGCAATTTGCATGGATCAATTTAAGTATCTATGGGTAAGGTAACTTTTCGTACCTTGAAAGACCAATAAGATTACAAAAATAACCTTTTCAATAAAACTGACAATCCCTTTTCTCTACATAAATATACTTAAACTTCTTCAAAACTTAGTTTTTGTAAAGTAACCCTTTAAACATTGCTATAATTCTGGTGAATTTGCACTCTACAGACCTCACCATTCCACAGACTGTATATCCTTCTGAAGCCATGGTGCCCAAAACAAAGCACAATACTTGAGGTGAAGCCTGAAGAAGGCTCTGTACTACTGGAACATAACCATCACTTATGTATTTCAGTCCTCTTTGAATGCTATATTCCATTTAATTTTCCTGATTTTATATTTTTTTTTTGTATGCTTTTATTAACTTTATGCACAAAACCTTTGCTCCTTGGCAGGAGACAATTTTTAGTCTCTTGCCAAGAAGGAAATATAAGTATTTGTCTTGGATCTCCATATTGAAGTCCATCAGCTGTAATTTTATCCACTCACATAATCGGTTCTTTTCTTCCTGCATTCATCTACATGACTTATTGTGGCTCACAAAAATGGTTTTATTCCTTCATCCAAATCATTTTATATTGAAAAGTTGACGTTCCAGTATATATACTGGAATCAACACTCATCACGTTCCAGAGTCAGGGTACATTCCTTTTATTTCATTCTGGCTTCTACCTTCCAAATAGTAACCAATTCATGTCCCAGCATTACTTCTGGTTTTTTTGCGCTTTTCTTATTGTTGTACTTTGTTTATAATGGATATTTGATAATGTCTGTAGGCACTGTACAATTCACAAAGTTCATGACTTCATCAAAAAAAAATTCCACTAGATTTGTCAAAGATGACCTATTCTTCAGAAATTCATCCAGATTCCCTGTGATCAGCTTTGTTTTCTTCATTTGTTTGCCTTGACTCCTATTTTTGAATCATCTGCAAATTTGAAGTTTATAAACTACTTGAAACGTCAACTGCATGCATTTCTTGTTTACAAAATCTTTCTTCCTATTATTTGTTGTTAATCTCAAATTTACATAACCTTTGTTCTAAATTCTTGTATTCAATGTATACTTTGTCACACTAATTGTGCAATTTAGTCACCTGGGCGAGAGGCATGCACAGTTCTTGAATATTTTCAAACACTGCTTTTCTAAAAATTTTCAGTACAGACATGTTTTTTTTTTCAGGTAAGTATTTCAGTTTAAAATTCTAACACTGAATCATAGAATCCCTCCAGTGTGGAAGCAGACCACTCAGCCCATTTGAGCCCACTCCAACCCTCCAAAGAGCATCCCACCCAGATTCACCCCCAACTCTATCCCTGTATCCCTGGATTTCCCATGACTAATCCACCTAGCCTACACATCCTGGACACGATGGCAATTTACAATGGCTAATCCACCTAAACTACACTACTTTGGACATTGCAGCTAAGATTCAGTCTTGCAGCTCTTAAACTACTGGCCCACCATGCCTGTGCTGGCTCTTTGTCAGAGCTGACCAATTGAGTCTTGCTTGCCAGCATTTTTTCTTCTTATGGAACAAGAACCGTCTGCTCCAGAGGTGTGCCATCACATGTCTGAACGGGTTGATTAAAGTTGTCTATCTGCAAACTACAGCTTGTAATTCACGTTCATTTGTCTTTTTAAAGTCGCTAAGGAATTTGATCCTGCTACATATTGAAGAAGTGCATTCCAGATCTTAACAATCCATTACGGGGGAAATAAAACTCTTTCCCATCTCCGTCTTTTGCTAACATTTTTAAATATGTTACCTCTAGTTATTGACCCATTTGCCAGGGGATTAATTCCTTTGTATTTGCTGTATCAAAATTCTGTGGAGCCCTTAATATGTCTATTAAATATCTCTTTCACTTTTGCTGTAAAAAAAAAAAAAAACTCAGCTTCTACAATTTCTACACACATCCAAAATTTATGAACCCTGGTATAATCATGTCAAACTCCCTTTATACCCTCTCCAAGGTCATGAAAACTTAAAGTGTAGTGTTCAGAATTGCCAAGCAGAAACTTTATGCAATTGCCCGAGCAAAGGAATTCTGCAGCCAAATGATCAGGTTCAATCTTTTCTTTCCTGTCACCTTAAATTATACATGATGGTGAGAAATTAATCAACTTTACTGGAGGAGGGAGCTCTACTTCTCCACCCTTGATTCTCTTACTGATTTAAAAATCTGTCTGTCTTAGCCTTGAATATACTTAATGACCCAGCCTCACTAGCTCTTGAAAGAAAGAATTCCATAGATTCATTAGCTTCTTAGGGAAGAAATTCCTTCTTGTTTCTGTCTTAAATGGGTGACCCATTATTCTGAGATTATGCTCTTGGGTCCCAGACTCCTGCAAGGGGAAACAACCTTTCCACATTGACCCTGTCAAGTCCCCTAAGAATCTTGTCTGTTTCAATAAGGTTGTCTCTCATTCTTCTAAACGCCAATGAGTACAAACTCAACCTGAGTGAACCTTTCTTTATAAGATAGCCTGTCCGTACATGGGATCGATTTAGTGAACCTTCTCTGGCCTGCCAAAAAAGCCAGTGTACACTTCCTGAGATAAGAGGGCTAAAACTGTTCTCCGTATTCTAGTGATAGTCTGACTTGTGCCTTGTATAGTTTGAGATAGACTTCCCCTTTTTTTTTTGGTTTTTAAACCCCATTCCCCTGGAAGTAAAGGCCAATATATTCCACCTGTCTTCCCTTTTACCTGGGGAACTTGTAAGCTAGCCTGTCGTGATTTATGCACGAGGACTCCCAAATCCCCCTCTGCTGTAGCTCTTTGCTCCATTTAAATAATATTCAGCTCCTAATTCTTCCTGCCAAAGTGCATTACCTCACACTTTCCTGCATTATATTCCATCTGCCAAGTTTTTACCCACCTGCTTAACCTACCTATTTCATGTCTTTTTATACTGGTGTAGTTCAGTTTCTGGTTGGTGGCAACCCCCAAGTTGTTGATGGTGGGGGAAATTCAGTGGTGATGTCAAGGAGGAATTATGTTTGATCAGATTATTCTCATTCTTTGGTTTTCTGTTTTATTTTTCATGGAATCACTGTTCAAATCAGATAACAAGGAAGTAAGTTGTTCCTACTTAGCTGCAGTTATAAGTGTTGGTTTTGAAGCTGTACGCAAATTGAGAAATAACAGAATATAAGGCTACATGTTTCCCGATAGCTGACTAGCTCCACCTTCCTTTTGTCTCTATCTTCTTCTGTGATCATATCTGTACTGGTTCTGATTTGTTATTAATCTGCTGTTTTGGGGTATTTTCGGTTTGGATTCTTGGTTTCTAACTGCTCTTTGGACTTTATCTGCCATTCATAACCCATCCTGATCTCTTGAATCTCCACTTGCTTGAGCAACAAAGCAATAATCCTGAAATCGTAGCACTGAAAAAGCTGTTTTGTGACTCGGGCATGTGCCGGTGCTACTGTTCTAATCCAATTTGTTTCCTGTTAGTTCTCAGTATGCTCGCAGTATACGTGTACATACTGGAAGCTACTCATTGGTACACAGTACTTGTAGATAGAACATACGCACATTATGCCAATATCAACTCAATGAAACCGGGGACCACTATTCTGAGGTTAATTTCGCAGGGCAGCACCTTGATGAATCAGATTCACCTGCCTAGTTTAATATTTAAACAAGGTTTGACAATTAACTAATACATTCTCCGTGGCAATGCCCACCCATCAGAGTCTACTTGCCAACCAATTAGCACCCTCTTCTCATATAGTATCAATATTGCTTTCCCTGTACTTCGGTATTTCTTGGTTTTGTTCTGAGTGCTAGTTTAAAGTCTTCAAAGTGTGTTTTCTTTTCAGCAAGACTCAAATTCTGCACTACAGGAGGAACTACTTGTGTAACTGTGTCATCATTAGAATTTCACCACTACTATCTTTTTCTTGAGACTTATCACTACTTTTTCCCTCCCAGAGTTATCTCTTGCTTGAACATGTCTTAATGGCATTTGATTGGCTTTTCTGTAACACATTCTTTACCTGCATTCTAAGTATGAAGTATTGTAAACTCAAGTGCGCAGTATCAAAGAGAATGTGGCAGAAGGGAGAGGGAGTTTTCTAAATGCCATTATCCAAAATACTGTCTTTGTTTTGTTCTTTAGAAAACCACGCTGTAATAATGCAACATGCTGAAGTCAGTGAATCATTTAGCATAGTTAGTCTTGGTGTAGGGTATAAGTCCCAAAACAACATAATCTGTCATTTTTTCAGATGCTGACATATGATCACGTGCGTTTCCGACATGCTTATTTCATATAAAATTTTAGCATTTGCTATTTTCCCTTTCCATTTTCCGATCCATTCTGCTACATTGTTTATAATACCACAAAATTTATATGTTGTCAATACCATTTTACGCAGAAGCAGTGGGACCTTTCTCAGTAGATTTTGAAAGTCCTTTTACAGAACAATCACTTGCATATTATCCATACAATGTTATTTCTTCAAGCACACTTAGCATATTTCTGACTCTGATTAAATCTAATTTTAATTAGCGTATGTATTTTTAAGTGATCTAAACATTAAAGATATCAACAAGACAAATATCAATATGCTTAACATGGCTACAGATTGTACAAGACATAGCTTGAAATAGGGAGGTTGAAAAGACTTAACAAATCTAAGTTGTAAGTGATGAGTATATGGAATACAATGTCAAAGGGTTAATTAAATCATCATTGAAAATGTTTGAAGAGATACAAGATATTTTCTAGAAACTGATTCTGTTTAGGTATATTGTTTTGGTTGGTGTTCATCCAGTATTTGTCAGGTAGCTCGGATGGCTGGTTTGCAATGCAGTGTGATACCAACAGCGTGGGT